ATTTCCACATTGTAAAATTTAATTTTGCCATGTTTTAACACTTCCCGCTCTATGAAATGCAGGGGGAAAATGTGAAATGCCATTTTTCGGCACCAGAATGACTATAGAAACAGTGGCCCTCGTCACAGCAGTATGAAGTTCAAGGGTCTCATACAAACAGTGCTCGGGAGATACTACCACCGCCTATCACCCCTCCCGAGGGCGACAAATGATTGATAAATTAGGACAAGAAAGCCCATAGTGAGAAGCAACTGTTGCCAAACAGGATCGGACAGTAGCATACATGAAACTGTAGTTATGTCACCAGAAAATCAGAAACTATGTGGATACACGAAATGATTCACATCTGATCTGGTCATCAATAAGAGTCAAAATCGAACGAGGTAATTGACGGACCCCTTTAACCATTCTCGTTGAGAATTCAACATGTATTCTATTACTGCTGTCTTCGAGGCACTAGCTATGTTGTGTGGTAACACCGTATCAGTAACGGACATCCACTAAAGGTGAAGACCCAGAACAGCCACCTTGATTGCCGGCATCATTCGTTTGCAGTCAGAGTGTGCAGCCGGATGAGCAATGCTGAGGTTAGGGACAGAGTTTTGGATATCCGCGGTTGCCCACTGGAGCAAGTGATCGACCTCCATAGATTACGTTGTTTGGGACACGTGCTACGCATGTCACCAGGTAGGTTACCACGGCGAGTGATGTTCGCCAAATAAGATACAGAGTGGAAAAAAGCCCAGGGTGGTCAAGTTAAGACCTGGCACGAGGGTATGAAAACCCTAACCAGGAGACTGGGCCACATAGGTCCTGTTAGGCTCCCTGGCTGGGGACCTCGGGATGATCGTAACCGAAGGTCACATAGGTCCTGTTAGGCTCCCTGGCTGGGGACCTCGGGATGATCGTAACCGATGGTTAGATATACTGAATGATATGGCTGGGTGTCGTAAACAGTGGCGTTTGTGCATCTCCCCAGTTTCTTTACAACCTTAGACCACTGAACTTCTCCATTTTCTGGTCGACTCCACTTTCAACTTTCGTTTCTTCTCCTAGTCTTCATACCAATGGGCAGCCAAAAGACAGCAACCAAAACCGGCGCACGAAAGTGCATGGTTAATGGTTGTTCAAACTGAACTGAACTGAAAACAGTGTGCAGCGTATGGAATTCTCTTCCATCTGATGTAGTATGTGCTCCTATAGTTGAACTATTTAAATCGCAACTTAACAAAGCATTGGAACACTTAAAATTTCAATATCCGTGAGTGATCATGCAAATTATTATTATTTTCTCTTTGTGAAATTATTCAGAATATTCTTCGAAATTCCTATGGGGCATGATAAGCTTTAGCTTTGTTAAATAGCCCATAACAAAACTTTGAATTTGACGTTAGATAACAAGGAGCACCGGGTCTCGGTAAACATCCTCTAATCGAGGGGATTATACTAAACTGTTCTTCGATATTTACGCATTCCGGTTCATCAAATTTCACAGTGACTTCTGGGCATGGCTAGAAGTAGTTTTGTGGCACAGTGATATGATGGAATTAACGGCAGCACTCATCCAGATTACTTTTCATATGGACTGCTCGATGAGAATACGAGGGATGACGACACCCAACCTAACCAACAAAAAAAACGGAGAGAATATCGAATATTGTGTGGTGTGAAACAATAACGAAAAAATCCCTGTATCTCCACTCATTAGTGTGGTCCCCTTTCGTGTTTGTCATTCACTGATTTTAGATAGTGCTCAGCGCTTGACATTCAGCTTCAATGTGATCAATAAACGAATGATGCGTAAACATAAACCAAACACGTGAATATCAACTGTTGAAAAATACCGTATGATAATATTTGAATATGGTAATGCTGTAAGAGTTCCCGATGACTTGAGTCCTTTGGAATCATCATTAAACGCCTATGGTGATTTCCTTCGGACTTATAATGCGCGATACATATAGTATTCGCCAATGAAACACCCGGACATGGCGGCTGCATGGTAGTTTAATCCCCGATACAATCATTCGCAGGTACATACATTCAGGATTCGCCAGTCTGACAATCCTATGCTATTGTAGATTGCCGTTTATCAGTAGGTCTCTAATCAGCATATTTCGATTGGAAGATAAAATTGGGACAACTCTGGTTAGTTATCCCCCAAGTACGAGCCACTGGGGAGCGAAATCAACTGGAATCGACTGGTTCCTGGGCAAACAAGAGCATAGACTGAGTGGCGCAATCCACTGGTTTGCGTCAATCAACTGACACATTATCAGTACAGAAATATCAGTATTAGATGACATTCTGTTGAGCGCACACAGAGCACATTTGAACGATTATCCAAATGGCTTTTAATTCCTGTGCTACCATGGGGTCACACAGGTTCAATTCGTGGCTGCTCAGCGAATCGAGATTGATCATCAGAACATTGCGATACACCTCGTTCGGAAGGAGAACCCAAATCAGTCAGTGAGCGACCCGAAGCGGATTCACCATGAACAATATCTTTATAATCGCAACCGACGGTTAGCCCATGTCTGCTAGCACAATAGATTGCAAACATGTCCAGTTTTGTCAAAACCACCGTTGAATTAGTGTACTCCTTACGGTTGTGAATTTTATGGCTACGGATCGGAATTCATAACCTAGTGCTGCACCATTGTCAACCGCTCGTCGGTTCGCACATCAAGTTATCCCCTGACAGGGAGTAATGAGGTAGCATCAGGACGAACGGGAACGGAATTCTTATGAACCATAACGTGGCGAGCACGATCGTGATTCATCTTCGCTGGCTAATACATCACAGTTTATCCAAGTAGGGTCAAAAGGATGATGACCTTGGAGGTGGAATAAATAAATAAATAATGTCTCTTGTCCGCGGTCTGACGTCTACATCGGATATTATGAGAATTGGGATGGGCAAATGAAAACGGAGCGAGCGGAGGACCATAGCAGATAATGACTTCATCAATTGCTCTTGTGAACACAAAGATGGGTGTGAGAAGCGAATTCCCACTGCTTCCGCTGTAAACAGGACATTATGTTCAATCCGCTTGGATGAGTTTTCAGGGGGCGAACCACCCCAGTCAAATCAACTAAGTGATCTGACTCAACACGGTGTAAACAGATTGCGATTGTGATTAAGTTTGTGACTTCCGTGTGCAACCAAACCGGATGGTTGTCGCGAAGTTGCTGAGTCAAGCGTCCGCTCGTGCAACCAATGTACTTGGTCAAAAAGGAACAAAAGGATAAAAATAAACTGGGATTTCATTCAAGGGAAATTTGGGCTGAAGCACGAGGGCCAGCCTGGATGCAAAGGTGACACACAATTAAGCTACACACAATGCTTGACTGATCGCAGTTTTCAGCATTCATCGTAGTGGCACCTATAACCGGCGGTCTTATGTTGACCAGCTTCACTTCTACTCCAAATAGTTTCCCCTTTGCTTGTCTGGTTTATCAAAAAGTTGCCTGTAAGTCTGTCAGGATATTTATTTGTGGAAGACCTGACGTAAATCTAATTCCTTTCGAATCGTATCTCATTTCAGGGAGTCCGCAATCAGGTCGTAGCACCTACTAGAAGGTTAAACACACTAATATGATAACCTGAATAAAATGGTTCGATTCAAGAACTGTTCTACTTAAATGGCACCAGAAGTATCTTCGTAAGAGTAAAGACGATTACCACAAAAGGGATTACTGTCAACTGCCTCATTAAGAACGGGCCTGGAGATACGACCACGAGGCGGTAAAATTTAGTTCAGTTCAGTTTGAACAACCATTAACCATGCACTTTCGTGCGCCGGTTTTGGTTGCTGTCTTTTGGCTGCCCATTGGTATGAAGACTAGGAGAAGAAACGAAAGTTGAAAGTGGAGTCGACCAGAAAATGGAGAAGTTCAGTGGTCTAAGGTTGTAAAGAAACTGGGGAGATGCACAAACGCCACTGTTTACGACACCCAGCCATATCATTCAGTATATCTAACCATCGGTTACGATCATCCCGAGG